CTGGCTGCGCCATAAAAATCTCCTCCTCAAGGATGCCGTTAAGGAATGCCGTTACGATGTCCATTTGCTTTACTACCCATCCTTTGATGGCGGCTCCCGCGAATAGGGTTCGCAGCGTCGTCGGCTTCACCACAGGGGCAAACAGCTCCTTGAAGTCCACCTTCTCCTTCTGCTGGTACCCCTTGGCTACAAGCCTAGACTTGTAGCGCTCGATCTTGCCGTCGGCATCCGACTTGATTTTGAAGAGCCACTTGGACGTTATCGCCGTACGCCCCTCCGGTAGCTCCACCAATTCAAACGTGTCATTCTCCTCAATGCTCTTCAGCTCACTCTCCATGGCCTTCTTCCACTCCTCAGCATCACTACTCTCCAAAGCCTCCTTGAGAGTTGCTGGTTCTCCCGGCATCTCCACCGGAGAGAAGAACGCGAAGGCACACTCCTCGTAGTCACTCTCCTCGTCGTCTCCGACCATCATTGCCGCTCCGGCCAGGGCTGTCTTGCCCTGCTTTCCCGGCGCATCATAGGTCAGCCTATTAGGGGGTTGAACTCTCCTCTTCCCCCTTCCTTCCTCCTCAGCTGCAGGGACTTGAAGGCCTTGGCGTTGCTGCGGTGTGGCTCGAATCCGTGGAGCACTCGTAGTACGGGAAGGAAGTGACGGTGCACGCTCGCTCACTTGCTGCACCTCCTCCTCTTCTTCCTCTGCATCATTGGCCTCCTCTCCCCCATTCACAAGGGAGGATTGCCTTGTGGTTGTGCTGCCGCTGCTCAGTTCCAAAGGCAGCTCCACATGCTCCAAACCGGAACTCTTCACCTCCCCAAACCGCACGCCTATCTTCGCCTCATTCTCCGCCTTCCAATCCTTGTACATGAAGTTCTCCATGAACTTGCAGTCCCTGCTCACCAAGAACTTCTTGGTGAATGGGTCCCAAAGAAGCCATCCCTTGCTGTTTTGAGCCATGCCCAAGTGCACGGCCCACACCGCCTTGGCACCAAGCTTGTTGTGCCGAAGATGCTTAGGCACGAGCGCCATGCACATGCACCCGAACACCCGAAGCATATCCACCTTTGGCTTCCTTCCTAGCCACTCCACATAGGGCACCCATTTGTCTGCTCCCACATGAGTCAAGGCTCTGTTCTTGGCCACACACGCGCTCCGCACCGCATCAGGCCAGAAATAGTCGGGTAGCCCGGCTTCAATGAGCAACCCGCGTGCCGCCTCCGTGATTGTGCGGTTCGCTCGCTCGGCGATGCCGTTCATTGCAGGGGAGTATGGCATGGTGAGGGAGTGCCGAATACCATTCTTCTTCAGCCACAACCCAAACTCCTTGCTCAGGAACTCTCCCCCTCGATCGGTGCGGATTGACTTGACTAGACGGTCTTGTTGCCGCTCCACCATCGGGAACCAATCCGTCTTCAACGTTTCAGCCACGTCGCTCTTCTTGGCCAGCACGTACACCCAAGTCATGCGGGTGTAGACGTCGACAATGGTGAGAAAATACTCAGCTCCAGCAGCTCCAAGCTTCAGGGGGCCCACCACGTCCATCACCACCTCATCAAGCGGTGCCTTTGCCGTTGCCTCCGAACTAGGGAACGGAAACCGGGTGAACTTGGCTTGAATGCACGTCGGGCAGCCAAGCACCTCATCGGGCTCCCCCTTCACACGTATGCCAGCAACCATCTCATTCTTCACTAGCTGCTGCAAGATGGGCAGGGCCACATGCCCCATGCGCCGATGCAAGGTGAGCCAATCACACTCCCCCGTAGCCGAAGTTGGATTGGAGAATGCCGCGCTCGCAATAGCGCCCCACATACTCTCTCCGTAGTCCTCCTCCGCTGCTGCCTCTGGGTTCTCCTCACCCTTTTGCTGCTCCTTGGTTGCTGCACCACTCTCCTTAGGTTCACTGAACTTGCTGGTCCCTCCAGGTTTGCTCTTCTTGAGCTCATTCTCCTTAGCGCGACCGTTCGCGCCATCGTCGCTACCGACCGCTCCATCCTTGGTGCTGATGCTTGCTGCCACTTGCCTCTCCTTAGGCATAGGGACCACTGGGATCTGCCACATCTCGTTGTAGACATCCCTGTCCTCATGAAGGTCCCAGAGAATTCGATCGCCAAGCCTTGCGGTGTAGGTCTTGGCTCCCTTCGAGTTCGTGTCCATGCCGGCCTTTGCCAACCGCCGCACGGAAATCAGGTTTGCAGCAAGGCTGGGCACCCAAAGCACGTTCTTGAGGCCCACCATCTTCCCATCAGCACCCTTGAACATGGCCTTGCCCATGCCTTTCACCTCTGCTCGCTGCCCCAAAGCCGATGTGACATGCTTCACCGGTGACGGCTCGAGTTCGGTGAGCAAGTCCGGGCGAGGTGTCATGCTATAGGTAGCGCCACTATCAATCACCCAATAGTCCAGGGGGTGTAGGGTCACCTTCCCCACAGCTGCTGGCTCCTCAAAGCCTTCATCCTTCTCTGGACCAGCCGGTACTTGCGTCGACACGAAGTAGAATAGACCCGGGTATCGATCGTCGCTCGGGTCCTTGTCGTTGTCTCCGCTCTTCATGTTTGCAGCTCCGCCACCGCGACCGCCACGGCCTCCACGGCCTCGTCCTCTCCCTCCTCCTGCTCCTCTACCCTCTTGGCCTTGAGCAGGGGTCCAACCATCAGGGAGTTTGTAGCAGTCGCGCCACATGTGTCCGCTCTTGTGGCAATAGTGACACTCGCCGTCGAATCGGCCGCGACCGCGTCCGTAGCTCTTGTCGTCGCTGCCGTAACCGCCACTCCTGCGGCCTCCGCCGAAGTTGCTGCCACCAAACCTTCCTCCCCTTCGTCCTCTGCCTCTTCCTCGACCATATCCACGGCCGATGCTCGCTGCCCCAGCGCCATCCGCACTCGCCAACTCACGGCGGCGGAAATCCTCTTGAAGGATAGCTCGCTTCACGTCTTCAAGCGAGAGGCGGGGCAAGTCGCGATTAAGGTTGATGATGAGCGAGGACCATGACTCTGGGAGTAAGGCCAGCAACTTGGTCTTCTTTTGGAGCTCACTGTAGTTCAAATCAGCTCCCTCAAGCCGCGTCAACAAGTCGAAGAATTTCTGCACCCCTTCTTCAACCGCTTCGTCTTCTTCAATTCGTAGTGCCGCCATTTGCCGTTCCAACACCACCGCTACCGCCGCTGTTGCAGGAGCATGTACACCCTTGAGAGCAGCCCATACCTTTGGTCCTTTCTCTGGTTCACGCTGGAATGGCTTGATGTGACGGATCTGACTGCTCCCCAACGCTTGCCCAAGTAAGAGATAGCCTTGTGCGCTCTTCCGCACCCACGGGCTCTTCTCCGGGTCGTTCTCGGGGCGCTTCTCCGTTCCTTCCATCACCTCCAGCAGGTCATAGTGGTCAAAGATGTTCTCCATCTTGAAGGACCATTCAACAAAGTTGTCACCGTTGAACTTGTCAAGCCCAAACACCCTAGGCTCATCCCTAGGTGGGCCAAGACTTGGTTGCATGGGCGCCATGGCTGAATCACGGGGTTGGCCTTGAGCTTGAGCTTCTCCACTGCCACCAGCACCTCTGCCACCCCTTTCCTCAGGTCCAGACATTGTCGAAACTGCTCCAAGGGGCTCTGATACCACTTGTTATAGTCACAATAGGCTTGAATGTGCCTAAAACGAAAGATAGAGAGCACATACGGATTTCTGCATAGCGGTTTCAAACGTTGATAGCGTTCTGCTCACAGCTGCAAATGACTTGATTCAAATTGGATCTGGAGCGTCTTTACGTCGTCTACAATTAGCAATTTAGATTGCACGATTTGATAAAGAATTGACGACACAGCGTCGGTTTGAACGAACGGTACTATGGCAGCTACTATAGTCTTAGAACACAAGATAGGAAGAGTTACGAGTTGGGAATGACTCCCAGCTCCTACAAACCCCAAGAGCCGAGGTACAGTGATGTGGAACAGTGCCACACTGTCCCCAACCACGAAGGGTCTCGAAACTACCCTTCACTAGGGCCTACACCAAGTGAAATGTTACACTACACAAAGTAATGTAAATATCTTCAATATCTTGAGGTGTACCCTTTTTTGGCGAGCTTCGAAATCACTTGAGGCTTGACACCAAGGCTCGGGCTCTTCATCACAAACTCATCCTTGAGTTCTTGATGGGTCTGCTGCACACACCTGCGACACGCCGAACGTTCGACACATGACAAAATAGAAACCGCGCACGACAAAATAGAAACCGCGCGCGAGACACAAACGACCGCGTAACACGCGTCTAGCGATAACTCGCTATTGACTCGACACACACACTCGACATCATGACTCAACATTCACACACAATTATAAGCATGAAATATATATTATCCCATGCCCTCATACCATTCCATACACACACACATTCACGCACACGGACAACAAGCCGAGTGCAAACCGTAGGGTTGCACCAACAGGGGAAAGCCGATTCTCGTGCAATTCGTGATATACGACCTCCCGGGCCGCGACTGCCATGCGTATTCGTCTAATGGGGAGATTCCCAAGGGCGGCATCGCCACGTACAAGGCCAATTACATCGACGTCGCCGTGGCGCGCCTTAAAAACAAGACGGCGAACGTGCGCCTATCGCTCGTGATCGAGCCCGACTCGCTGCCCAACCTCGCGACGAACTTGGGGTCAGCTCAGTGCGACGCGACGACGGAGAAGGAGTACACGGAGGGTGTCGCTTACGCGATCGCGAAGCTCTCGCAGATTCTTGGGACGTCGCTGTATGTCGACTCGGGGGGCGGCGGGTGGCTCGGTGAGTGCGTATGCCGCGCGCAGTTCCTTCCGTTCCATTTTTTAGGCGCCTCAGAAATAGATTCCGTTCCATGCCAATTTGTTTCCTTCCTATCCTTCCTCCCCTTTCAGCCGTAGCCCTGCTTCCACCGTTTCGCTTCGCACTCCCCCTCACCCCACCCCACCCCTCAACCCTTACCTGCTCGCCTCTCAACGCTTGAACAGGCTGGCCGAATAATATGAAGGCCGTCGTGACGGTGTACAAGAAAGTCCTCGTGCGCGCGCAGAAGATCCGCGCAGGCGCCAAGATCCGCGGCTTCGCGTCCAACGTGGCCAACTACAGCCCGCTCTTTTCCTACCGCTGCCCCGCGGCGGAGAGATGCCCGCTCGCGAAGCACCCAGGCACAGGCGAAATGAACTACGACTGGAACCCGTGCATCGACGAGAACCGCTTCACGTCGCGGATGAATGCGTACCTGGGAGCCTTGGGATTGCCGACCAGGTGGATCGTGGACACCAGCCGGTCCGGCCGCGCTGGCATTCGAAAGCGCTGGGGGTCGTGGTGCAACGTGAAGGGCGCGGGGATCGGACAGCGCCCCCGCGCGAATCCCGGTAGTGCTCCGCAAGGTGAGCACTTCACAACACGCGCATCCTTGCTTCTTCTTGCTGTTGTTTTTCTTATCTTCTCTTTTTGTTTTCTTTCTAGCACTTCTGTTTTGAAAAGGTGATCACATGCCACCGTTCCTTTCCCACACACCTTGCTTGCCCGACAGTTGATGCTTTGGCTTGGATCAAGCCGCCTGGGGAGAGCGATGGCCACTCGTAAGTAAATATGCAAGATCAACAGTCTGTTTTAATCATTATTGGTACTGCAGGGTCTTCCTAGTTCCTAATATGCGGATTGGTCCTACCAGTTTCCTAATATAGTGTCTTTCTTCTTCTCCCCAGTGGGTTATTTACCGAATCATTCGCTAGGGCAAGCTTCCTTCCACCTTCACTCGTCTCCTCTCCCTTCTCTGTCAGTGGGAACAAACAGTTGGCTATGCTTCTCACTACACCTTCACTCATCTCTCTTTCTTCCTCCCCCCGATGCATCCGATCCAGAAAAAAAATTGGCGTTTCCCCCGTGGATCGTGAATGCGACCCCCTGGACCAGCTGGGTGCGGAAGCCCTAGCTGACGCGCCACGCGCTGGCAAATGGTTCCAGGCGGAATTCGCCATGCTGGTTCGCAACGCCAGCCCGCCCATTCCTGCTGCAACCATGCAATGATCAAGAAGGGGCTGAAGAGTAGAAGGACGAGCAACCAGAGGCCAAGCGACTCAGACCCCTATGGTGTAGGCCCGGAGCTGCTGAGGCGGTAACGTAAGGATTTAATAACATACAGTCATTCTCTTTAATAACATACAGTCGATGTTTCTTTGGTCATAAATGGTTCGTGTGGCACCTCTCCTAGCTGCTCTGTTGGCCCATAGAAGCTTTGACATCGACCTTGAATGGCCATGATTTTGCTAGGTAGTTCCTGAGCGATCCGCGTCCTGGCCCTGCACCTCCTGCGGATCCTCCCACGGGTATACCCATCTCAGCTCCAGGGGATGTCCACTTGCATGTTGTGTCTCTTTTCTCTCCTCTAGCTCCCCCAGCATGGCTCTTTCCTGGGCTTCCTTCAACGCCGCTCGTGAGAGAATGAGAACGAGGATGGATGAACTATGAATGAAGTGAGTACATATAGGAAACCCTAATTGGGTTGTACCCCCTATGGGATACCCCACTATAGCCTACACAACAGCATAAGCTATATATATGTTCTGACACACCCCCATAGGCAATGTGGGGGAGAACAAGGGGTCACAAGACCAGTCACGCAAAGAACAGCAAGCTCAGGGTGGATCACAAAGTCACCACACAGTCCGAGCACAACGACAAGGCCACAAGGCCAGTTCACATGCAGGAGTGCACATATATATATAGAGCTAGACAAGCAAGAGCAGGTATATATATGTGACAGTACAAGCAAGGTCAAGAGGAGAGCAAGTGAGGCAAGACAGGTACAAGACCCAGCTGAGTGCAGAAGCGCTGATGGTCACAAGGCGGAAGTGCCTTGGTGAACACATCAGCAGTGTTGGCCTCAGAGGCCACGTACGCAAGTCGCAACTGACCACGCTGCTGCAGCTCACGAGCAAGAAAGTAACGGAGAGCAATGTGCTTCGTTCTGTGCTCCAAGCGCTGCTCTCGACACAAGGCCAGCATGGCCTTGTTGTCTACGTACAGCACTGGAGGAGAACGAGGCGGCTCTCCAAGGTCAGTCAGCAGGTAGGTGAGCCAGCGAAGCTCCTGTGCAGCCATGGCCCCGGCGTAGATCTCAGCCTCACAACTGGAGCCGAGAACAGAGGACGAGCGAGTAGCCCGCCACGAGACAGAGCCGGAACCAAGACTGAAGGTGTAACCCTGCGACGACCGCTGCGTAGCCTGGTCGTCAGCCCAAGAAGCGTCCGCGTGCCCAGTGAGCACCACTGGACTCCGCCCTCCAAGCACTAGCCCCATGCCCGACGTACTGCACAAGTAGCGCAACACCCTCTTCGCTGCAGCCATGTGCTCTGGTCGGTGTCTCCCAGGAGCAACATAGCGTGCAAGAATGCTAAGAGGGTATGCAAGGTCAGGTCGTGTGCAGGTCATCAGGTACATGAGGCAACCAACAAGCTCTGGGTACGGGCCACTCGACTCTACGGACTCATCCGAAGGCAGAGCTGAGAGCGAGTGGCGAGTAGACAGAGGAGTGGCCTGAGGCGAGGAGTACGTGAAGCCGAAGCGCTGAAGGACCTGCTGCACCATGTGTGACTGAGTCAAGGTAATGGTGCGGCGTGCTCTGTCCCGAGTGATCTGCAAGCCAAGGTAGCTGCGCAGTTCACCCAGGTCTGTGCACGTGTGTCTCTTCTGCAGCTCGGACTTCACGTAGGCTAGTCCAGCAGTGTCAGCTGTGGCAAAGACCAAGTCGTCGACGTACACGAGGATGTAGAACGGCGGCAAAGAAGTGTCGGTGCGCAGAAACAACGACGGGTCAGCAGTAGAGGGAGCAAACCCAAGAGCCGCAAGCGTAGTCCTCAGTGTGTCGTGCCACTCACGCGGTGCCTGGCGGAGACCGTAGACTGGCCGTCGGAGGCTCCACTGGGTGCCAGGAGGGAAAGTCCCAGTGAAGCCAGGTGGACGGCGCAGCCAGATCTCCTCGTGCAGGCTGCCCTGCAAGAAAGCAGTGCTGAAGTCAAGAGAGTGGAGCTCGTAGTCGCGCTGAGCGGCTATGTGCAGCAGCACCCGAAGAGTGGTCATCTTCGGGGTGGGAGAGAAGGTCTGAAAGTAGTCAACTCCCTGCCGCTGACTGAAGCCACGAGCGACGTACCGCGCCTTGAAGACAGGTGGAGAGCCCGGCGGCCGCTTCACCCTGAAGATCCACATGCCACTGACGATGTTCGCCCCAGGAGGGGGAATCGCGTCAACGTAGGTGCCTGTGGACTTCCAGGACGCCATCTCTGCATCCATAGCTGCCTGCCACTGAGAGGAGTAGGGACCCTCTACGGCCTCCGCGTAAGAGCGCGGAGTCGGGATGTCTAGTGCATCCGGGTCTCCCTCAGGGGCAAGTAGTACGGACGCGAGATGAGGTGAAGCAGCAGCCAGACACTGGAACTCCTCCTGCCTGTCCTCAAGGACGTCCGTGCCAAGAGCACACTCACCCCCGACGGACGGAGGACAGACAGACGCAGACTCAGCAACAAGACCGGCAGCGTAGTCTAGACGACAGCGAGCAGCAAAGTCGACGAGCTCAGCAACAAGAGCAGACGCAGCAGTGGACTCAAAAGAGGGGTCAGTGACGACAGTAGCAAGGAGACGTGTGACAGTAGGACTGGTAGCACGAAGAGAGTCGGACTCTGGGGCGGTAAGTGCAGGAAGAGAGGACTCAGGAGGAGAAGGCAAAGGGGCACGGAGAGGAGCAGTGGACGGACGCAAAGACATCCGGTGCGTGCCAGGAACAGGAGGAGGACGCTGACGCGAACCGCGACCACTAGCGCGAGCAGCACGAACAGGCGACGCAGGACGAGACGCAGGCTCACGACGCTCAGCAAGACCTCCAGTGGGACCAGTGTAAGGAGAGGGAGCAGGAAGTGGGGAGGCGGGCTCTAACTGGGACTGTGACGGAACAGGTGGTGGACACGCTGCAGGAGGAGAAAGACCAAGAACCTGCTGTAGGAGTGGAACGAAGTACGGCCGAGGCCGCGCGGCGACTCCAGACACAGCAGGGACAGCACCCTCAGCAGTAGCACCAGCGCCAACAGCACCTCCAGGGGCAGGACCTCCAGCAGCACCAGCTGCACCAACACCCGCAGCAGCTCCAGCTCCAGGCGGACCCGAAGGCCCAGCAGCTCCGGGACCAGCGGCACAAGTACCCTCAGCAGTCGAAGGAGCTCCGGCTCCAGCAGTACGTCTCCAGCGGCGAGCAAACCACTCGCGCAGCTCCTGTGGAGAGAGGGGCTCCCGCCGAGGCGAAGCACACGGAGAACCGCCAGGTCCCGCACCGCCAGACGCCACAAGGGGAGGTCCAGTGGCCGCAGGCTCCGCAGCTCCAGGCTCAGCAGCTCCAGACGCAGCACCCCCTGGCTCAGCACCCCCAGTCGCAGCACCCCCAGGCTCAGCACCCCCAGACTCCGCACCCCCAGGCTCAGCACCCCCAGTCGCAGTACCCCCAGGCTCAGTACCCCCAGACTCAGCACCCCCAGGCTCAGCACCCCCAGGCTCAGCACCCACGCGCGTAGCACCCCCAGAGTCAGCACCCCCAGGCTCAGCACCCGCAGCAGGACCAGAGTCACCAGCAACCTCGACCGGCTCGACTGCGTCTACCTGGGACACACCTGAAGGGGCAGGACCCTGAGGGGGAAGGGGGTCTACCGGGGGGGGACCTGGCACAAGGAAGTGCGGTGGCGGGGGGAGGGAAGGAGTGCGGTAGGGGAAGAGGCGGTAGAAGGGGACTGACTCGTCGAACGTGACGTCCTGGGAGGACAGAACACGACGAGAGGAGGGGTGGTAGAACTGCCACCCTGGGGCGTCAGGGGGGAAGCCGAGGAAGACACAGGGAGCAGCACGAGGGGACAGCTTGTCCGCAGACAAGTCGCGGACAAACGCCCGAGATCCCCAGACACGGAACGCAGACGCATCGCCGACCTTCCCCGTCCACAGCAGAGCTGGGGAGGTCTCCGGCCGGGAGACCCTGGGGTGAAGGTTGATCTGATGCGCCGCGTACCGAACCGCAAACGGCCACAGAAAATGGGGGGCAGCCGCATGCATCATGGACGTACGAGCGACGTCCATGACCATGCCAATGCGGCGCTCAGCAATCCCATTTTGCTGTGGAGAGTCCGGAAGCGTAAAGGTCTGGCGGATGCCTCGTGCACGACAGTAGGCTCGCAGAAGGCCAGAGGAGAACTCTCCACCTCGGTCAGAGTGCAGACGCAGAACAGGAAAGTCCGAGCCGAAGCTCCTCCTGAGCTGGAGACGAGCTGCGCGGATCCAGTCGATCAACACCTCAGTAACATCACCCTTGCTGCGCAAGGGGAAGACTGTGGTGTAACGCGGGTAGTCGTCAACCACCAGCAGGAAGTAGCGCTCGTGACCCTGCCCACGGACGCGGGCCGGGCCCCACACGTCCATGTGAAGCGTCTGCAGAGGAGCCTCTGTCGGGGGAAACTGGGAGGAGTGAGGGGCAGCCCGGAGCCGCCCCTCGACACAGGGGACACAGGAAGGTCCGGGTCCCGAGGGAAGGGGAGGGAGAGACCGGGGAAGAC